AACATGCACTTTGGCTCAAAAATTCCTACAATAAGCTTTGCTTGAGATAAAGGAGCAAAGGAACTCCCCAAATCTCTCCCTTCCAAGAACCACCACTTGCATGCTGGACTTGCTGAACCTATCCACGACTTCACAGCCAACTTTCAGAAGTGTAAAGCCTTGCCCTTGTGCTCTGCTCTGAATGCCCGTGTTGTCCCTGTCTCCTCCAAGCTCCCGGCTGCCCACCGCAGAGCTGCACGTGAGGCTGCCTGGGTGCCTGCTGCCTTTTTCACACGTGCAGGATGCATCTGACCTTGGGAAGAGCCGACACAAAATGCCCAGCCCACTTAAATCCCCCAAACAGGACTTTAAGCAAGACTTCAATAATGCCTGGCATGAGTTTTCCTGAGGCGAACTGCGGAGTGCAGCTGCATTTCCAAAGCCAGCCCTATAAATGGGCATTACTTACTGATCAGATTGCAGATAAAACTATTTCACTACAGAGGTGGTGGTGCTCAGCCTCATGAAAAGGGCAGGAATTAAGCCACCTTCAAAATATCTGTTGCCGTAGAAGCAATACCACCGCAGGAGATTGTAAGGGGGAAGAATCTGATGTGCATTTCTCTATTTTTGGTGCTTTTGGTTCCTGCACTGCAGCCAGCCAGCCGTGTCCCCAGCACAGTTCCCTTTTGCTTCAAGCTCGTTGGAGTTCCTACTTCCCTGCGCAGCACCGTCTCCGTTACACATGCAACAGAGGAAGCTTTGTGGGAATTTTTTTTTTTTCCCCGAGATGGAGATTTATACTCGCGACTAGACTTGCACAAACTTATTTCTTAGGAAATTTCACAAATCAAGTCTAGAGAGTAGCTGAAAATGTCAGTTTGCTGCTGCGCTTAGTGGGAGGCTGATGCACAGGGAGGACCCCGGGGGGGTCTGCAGGCTGAGAGCAGCGATCTGTGCTGTGAGAATGATTCAGCATGTACAGCTGCTTAAGGATCAGGAAGCAAAGGAGTTGTGGTGGTCTGTTGTCAGAATTGTTTTGCATGATGGGCAACGAGGGAACCAGTCATTGCTATTTTGGATGGACTAAAAGTGAACAGAAATGCTTACGCCATTGCTCTTTCATATTTGTGTGCAATTTCAAATCCAGCCCCTGACCTGAGCAAACCCAAGCTGAGCTCTGAACCCGTTCCTCTGGGAAACCAGTTCACCAGCCCAGACATCCTACCTACATCGCATCACGGATTACATCACAGCTATAATTTGTCTAAACAAAACAAACATGAGCTGCCAGTCTCCCAGAAGGACTGATCTGTTCGTGGGACAGCTTCTCTTCTGCTTCATTGCTCTGTGAGTCGTAACTCATGCACTCTAAGGGTAATTTCAGTGGCTTTTTGGAGATCAGTGTGTAAAACGTCCTTCTTGTGCTGAATGGAAATGTGGTAACAAAAATGGGTTAACTCGGCAAAAAGCATAGATTGCTGTGTCTGGTACACAGCTGTCCCTTGGAGTAATTAGCCAAACCCAGTGAAGTTATTAAAAGGCTGCCGTGCTCTCAGGGAAGGCAGGATCAGTCCGATGGGCTGAACGCTGCCCGGTGTGTTCCTGCAAACACGTTACCTTGAGCAGAACTGAACCTGCATACGGGAAGCTCCTTGCAGGTCTCCGATTTCTTCCTTACAGCAGAATAGTTCAAGTCTGAGGCTGCCTGCATATCACCAAATCAATACGTACATTCATCTGTCAAGAATGACTTGAACAAAAGGCTGACAAGCATAATTATGAGAATTAATGGACTTTGGCAATTATCCATGTTTCTGCAACTTGCTGGGGGGGTAACAGCAAGCCAGGGGCTGGGTAGGAGCAGAGTTTCCAGGGCTAGATCAAGTGTAGCGTGTAAAGTTTATTTCACTTCGGCAACTTGCTCAGAAGAGCGCTTTGCTCAGAGCTGACGAAACTATTTTTTGATTTTATAGTTATGGGATAGCTCTAACTATGAAATATGTGTCCCTGCCAGCCCCTCAAACACATCCTGCATGGAGACATGGGGCACCAGCTGAAAATGCCTGCCTGAAAAAGGCAAAAAGCAACATAAAAGAAGATAAAAGTTCAATAAATGAAGGTGAATTCTGTGGTGGTCTTGTGCAATGCAAGGGGAAAAAAAGTCTTTGGGGAAAAAAAAAAATGAGGAGTTCATTATTTTTGGCAGGACTTCTGCACATTTTGCTTGTCAAGGAATTGTCATAGGGAGGGGATTATTTTACAGTCATATAAAAGTTCCCTCCCTCCTTCAGTTCTTCCAATCCCAGGCTGTCTGAGGGGCCTCTTTACGGGATTACATTCCGTCTTCTTTTTTTTTTTCATTGGGTATTTTTAAAAGACAGATTGATCTAGTTCCCCTGTGCATTCTGTGCCGCTCTGGGTATTGCTGCCCCTTGCAAGTCCAGCCCGGCGAGGGACAGATGCAGCGCTGGCTGCCTGGACCGAAAGGCGAAGGCATTAGTTATGGCCCTGATCCACTTTCCATGGCCGTGATCCTATGAGTGCTTTGAGCTGGGATAAATCAGCCCTGCAACCCTGCACCCTCACCTGCCCATCCCCTCCTTGTGCCAGCTCCTGTGCACCATGTCCACATCACAGCACTGAGATGCAAAACGAGAGATGGACGTTACCTGGGCTGAGCTGGTCCCCAGGAGAAGGTGCTGTGGAAATTGGGGTCTTCCTATCCGGTGGTTGTGCCATGACAGCCCCGGGCACCCTGCTGCGCTGCCCACCCACCTCCCTGCTTCACCAGGACATGGGGCATCACCAGTGCAGCTGGTGCTGGGGATGGAGGTGCTGCTTTCTCCGTTAGACCCCTTATTAACTTTATAACCTGGACGTCTCAAGCATTTCTGAGCACAGACCTCCAGGATATTGATTCCCAGAATATCCACTGCCAGTGGATAACTCACAAGCTGGGACTTTGCTCCTCGGCACAGAGCATGACGAAAGGGTTGAGCCCAAACGAGATTTTCCGGCCGGGCACAGCCTCTCCTGTGTGTTTTTTTACAGGGGGAAGCGGTTACAGCAGCAGTGCCAGAG